CCAGCCCCCTGGGACCCTCCGAGGCAGCGGGTCGCGGCCACTCGGCCTCCCGGTCCCCGTCCAGGTACTGCTGTACGTGCAGCCCGCTTCTGGAACGTTCACAGGGAGTAACGTGTTGGCGTCACGCCGTGTCGGGGAAGAACACGGCTCCTGCTGTCTGGTTCAGTTGCTGGGCGACAAGGACCAGGAGGAGCTCACGCGGACAGCGCCCACCCACCCCAGCTCGCTGAGCACTGCCGTTCTACCTCCCGCTCCCGCGTGTCCGGTGTGACCCGGAGACCCGCGCTGCCCGCCGGCGTTGGCACTCACCCACGTCTGCAGTGACCACGGTGGACTGGTTCTCAGGGACGGACACAGAGGTCTGGTCCTGGTCCAGGCTCCGGCAGTCCTCGTTGCCCTCCAGCTGACTCTGGCTGAGCTCGGACCGCAGTTCCGAGCACTCATCCTCCTCTCTGCGAGGAAAACACAGTCACCACGGAGGCCGGACGGGGCGTCTCACAGTAAGCAAGAAGAGGCATTGGGAGAGGACACGGGGCCTCCCCGGCCACAGGGACACTCACGCCCAGGCTCACAGCGCGGGCCCGAGGGGTGCGCCGTGTCCACACGTGTGAGCCGTGTCCACACGTGTGAGCCGGGCACTGGACGGGCCTCGGCCGTCAGCCCACGGGGACTTCCACCGAAGGAATCAGCTTTCTCGACCACTCAGGTTGGAGGTGAAGACTTCCAGCACTGGGGCCACCGAGGCAGAATAATGAAGCTGGGTCATCAGCCACAGCAGGCTTCGCCTGGAAGGTCCCTCCGGGGCTCTCCTCCACCAAGCGCATTTAAGAGGTGCTGGAGCGGGAGCAACGGGGCAGCCCGATCCCGGAGGGTGCAGGTCAGTCGCCTCCGCAGGAGCAGGCCGCCTTCCTCCGGGAAAGCCGGTGCAGCGCGGTGTAAGGAAAGCGGGGCTGCCGGGCAGAGGGAGCGGCGGGTGAGAGAGCACACGGCGGCCTGCACGCCACGGGCCGGACAGGGAGCCCAGGCCTCGCCTGTACACGCAGCCCCCTCCGCTCCGGGCCCCGCGGCCCAGACCCGAGTCTTCCACTGCCGAGCCGAGACAGTGCAGAACCGAGGCATGGACTTGAAAGCAGGTTCCGCCCGCTCCCTGCTAGCCACCACGCCCACGCACGCGGGACGGCCAGAGGCAGACCAAGCGTCCTTGCAGCACTCATTGCAAGGGAGCCGGAAAACTGGGGGGCTCTTCCCTGTGGGCGGGGAAAGCCCACTGGTGCCCACCCGGCCCCCAGGGAAGGAATTCGGCTGAGCCCTGCTCTGTGAAACATTCTTTTCCTTTTTTAGTTTTTCTTTTCGACCAAGCGTCCTTGCAGCACTCATTGCAAGGGAGCCGGAAAACTGGGGGGCTCTTCCCTGTGGGCGGGGAAAGCCCACTGGTGCCCACCCGGCCCCCAGGGGAAGAGAAATCTCCACCTGGCAACCCGGGGGCAGATAGTCTACACAGGTCTGGGTTTCCGGAAGACTAAAATGGCGAGGCATGATCACCGGGCTTGCGGCAGAGGTCACTGGAGAAGAATCTATAACCAGAGACAAAAAGAACTCACTAGAGTTCCTAATGCTCTCAAGAAATCAGTATTCTCCCAGGGAAGGAATTCGGCTGAGCCCTGCTCTGTGAAACATTCTTTTCCTTTTTTAGTTTTTCTTTTCTTTTCTTTTCTTTCTTTCTTTCTTTCTTTCTTTCTTTCTTTTTTTTGGCTACAGGACACAAGTGGCTGCTTTTTTGGCTACAGGACACACGTGCTTGCTAGAGAGGGACAGAGAGGGAAAGTGAGAAATCACCCCCGCGCGGGGATGGCCATGCCGCAATCCCTTCCCCTCTGTTCTCCTCCTCCTTTTGGGTGGGCCTGCATACCCATGGCATGAGTTTCAAGCTGCCAGGCCCAGGACTCGAACCACAGTCAGCCATATGGAAGTCCAGCACCTTAACCAGCACACCACCTGCTGGAGCACTGCTCTCGGGATTCTGAGCACGCTGGCACTCGTGCTCAGTGAGATTTTAAAGCCACCAGGTCGGGGACTTGAACAGTGGTTTTCCATGTGGGGGTCCAGCACCTTAACAACCACACCACCTGCTGGCCCCTATAAAGTAATTTTAATAAAAGTCACCTAGAAAACTGGAAAGACTAACTGATATGAAGCCATGCAAAATATGACTTAGAATGGGAGTAGTGAAGGCAAAAAACCATAGGCTGATGGTCTGTGGATAAGTTAATTGAGACATCTGTAAAAGTCAGCAATAATTACAGAAAAAAACAATGACAAAGTCCTCTGAAGAGTGACCTTTCTGGTGGAGAGGGTAACTGCACTCACACTTCAGCTCTCCTCTCGGTCAGCACCTAGCACTCCGATGGCGGCTGCGGGGAGAATTCACGTATAGCGAACAAACTACCCTCGCTGCGTGGCCAGTAACCAGTCCGGCGTGGCCAGGACTGTTTGCAGCCGAGAAAGCGGCCTGCTCGAGCCACTCATGTCTCCCGGCCTAACTGTGCAGTCTTTCACAGCTACCGCACCTCCTCCGGCTTGGCAGGCTCCAACACACAGTTCTTGCCAGATCTGCTTCGTGCTGAATTACTTCCGGAAACTCCGGGAAGAGCTTTATGAAGAGGTGCATGGGAAGGGGTGGGGGAGGAAGCTTTCTGGCAGAAGCACTTCCTGCCGAGGTTAGCGCACCAGAACGGCAGTGAACAGGGTTATCTCCGGCAGGAAGGGCTTTCAGTGTCCTGACAGGCAAGCCCCGGGTCCTGTTCCACAGTCCGTGCTGGGACAGTGAGGGGCACTGGGTCCCATCTGCCAGGGACCCACGGTAAGTGGAGAAGGTCCAGGGGGTGGCAGAGGAGGAGGGGAGCAGAGGGGCCTGGACAGAGGAGGTCACGAGAGTGGAGGAGCACACACGGGCTCCGAGGAGCAGTGCGGGGGTCAGCACGGCCGAGACCAGACCGCACAGGAGGGGAGCTCGAGGTGGGAGAGACACGGCTGCTCGGTGTGCAGCGCTGGCCGAGAGAACTGCCTGCCTGGGGGAAGCGAAGCACGGGGCCAGCATGGGGTGGAGGTTGGAGTGGCCACGTCCCACATGGCTGGCTGTGCAGTTCGTGTCCCAGACCGGGGGCCAGGAGGCATGCCAGTTGTGTGTGACACAGGGTGTGTGTGTACAGAGGTCCAAAATCCCAGGAGAGGAAGAGTACGGTGCAGCCATCACCCTGGGAGGGGTGATTCCTCACTTTCCCTCCTTCTGTCTCTCTTCAGGGACAAAAGACACCGTACATCAAAAAACGAAACAAAGAACAAACAAAAACACAGCACGGGAAGTCTGGGAGCTCAGGGGAAGGGGCCTATGTGGCAGATCAACGAGGAAGGGCCCGGCCAGGACAGCTGGCTCCAGGTCGGAGACGCTCTGTGGTAGCCACACCACCCCTCCGGGACAGAAACGCGAGCGCAACGCCTCCAACAGCCACGCTGCGTTCCCGCCGACTTCGGTAGAAATCACGGAATTGTATATATGTGGGCATGTGTGCTCACAGAGAGAGGGGGGGGGAAGGAGAAATGACCCCCATGGGGTGGCCATGCTGCATTCCACTGCCCTCTCTGGGTTTCAGTCTAACACACACACGGCTGGTATGGTTTCCAAGCTGCCAGGTCTGGGACTCGAACTGTGGTCAGCCACATGGGAGTCCAGTGCCCTAACCACTACACCACCTGCTCTAGGGCGTGTGGTATTCTCACCATGCCCCATTAGCATCACTTCTGAGAAAGAATGGGGCCCGGGACTAGGAAATGACTGAAGCGAGCTCCCCCGCGGAGTCAATCATGGCCGCCCATGGCTCTGACTGCAGGGCTGCGCGGTTTCCCTCCGGCCGAGAGCTCCGGCACACCAAGGGGCTGCACGTTTCCTAGGCGTTCCCTCGGAGCCCTGACCCTGCGAGGGCTGAAGTAGCGCTGCTGGGCTCACCCAGGCGCTCTGTGAGCTGCTCCCAGCCGGTAATCCGAGCCCAGGAAAAGGCTTGCCAAGCTTTGCCACAAAACATCCTCCTAAGGGACCAGCAGTTAGCGTAATGGCTGTGTCGCTGGACTCCCATGTAGTCGACCACAGTTCGAGTCCTGGACACGGAGGCTTAAGCTCATACCGGGCGCGTGTGCATGCGTGCCCAAGATCCTGAGTGGAGAATGGAGGAGAAGGGATTGCGGCGTGGCCATCCCCCCTGGGGGTGATTTCTCGCTTTCTGTCTCTCTGTCTCTCTGTCTTTCTGGTGAGCGCATGTGCCCTATAGCAAAAACCTCTCCAAAAACAAAACAAAAGAAAACATCCCCGTAAGAAGGGAGGCAGGGTGGCACGGCACACCGGGGGGAACTCGGAGACCACCTACACCAGGACCAGTACCTTTCCTCTGCAAGTCAGACAGCCGGTGCACCCAGAGAAAAAGTGACCAAGCCCAGAGGATGCGGGTCAACTCAGTCTAACCCACAGGTCACTATCTATGACTCGTATCATGGCCTAAGGAAAACTTTGCACTATCATTTATTTTTAAAAGATTCCTTCTTGTGTCCAGCAGGTGACATAAGGGTTAGGTCACTGGACTCTCACATAGTTGACCGCAGTTTGAGACCTGTAGACCCAGTGGCTTAAAACTAAACCTGGGTGCGTGTGTGTGCGTGCCCAAAGTCCAGAAAGGAGAGTGGAGGAAGAAGACAGTGGTGTGGCCTTTCCCGAGGGCTGATTTCTTGCCTTTGTCTGTCTCTCCAGCGAGTGCATGTGCCCTATAGCAAATAAAACACAACTATCTTTAAAAAAAAAAAGGATTCTTCTTAGAATTGGCTAGGAGAGAAATGATCCCGTCTGAAAGAAAAGCCCGTGACGGTGTACACCTCACCGCGCCTCCAAACTCAAGCTGAAGTACACAGCGAGTCACAGGCTGTCCCCACACCCACCGCTGTGGGCACGCCCAGGCACTGTCGCTGGCCTGGAGCGATTTACGAGGACGACCCAGATGTTCGCCCAGCTTGGCAGCTGCCACTCTGCTGGGCTGCTAGCCCAACCCACTTGACCTGGTTTTATCTGTGGACTCCCAGATTGTTTTCCTTACACTTAAAGGAGACATTCCCTGAAATGGCGGACGTACTTTTAAAGAACAAAGATCGTTTAGATATAGGAGGAAAATATAATCCTTTCAGTTCTCTTACATGATCTATTGCAAGAGGTAAGTGGCGAGTGAAGTCCTGACTGGCCCTCCAGTTCTCCCTCCTGGGGCGCAGAGGCAGGCCGGCCTCACCTCATCCTGCGGTGCAAACCAGCACACCAGCCTTCGAGAGTGCTCTTCCTCAGGCTCGGTAATCCAACCCCGTCCTAAGCAGCTAGCACAGACCCATCCTGCAGACCTTGCAAATATGGCCAAGGCTTTGACACTGCCCTCTATTAGGGGGAGAGAGAATTCCCTTGCTGGGTTTCACTTCTGACTCACCATGTGCTACCTGTAGGCCGTACATTAACCAGCACAGCACGTTTTGCTGACACAGAGGTCTGCTCACTGTGCTGAGACGCAGCGTGTGGGGTGGGCTAAAGGCCGGGAAGGACCAGGCTCCCGTGGTGGGCCTGCACCATCAGGGGAGAGACTAGGGTGCAGTCGTGAAGTCTTGGGATTCGCTCCTGTCCACGGACGGGAAGCATTTTGAAGGGAGGAAGCAGAGTTTGATGCCAATGCAGTGACCACAAAGGTGGGAGGGTCTCTAGGGGTGCTGCCCTCCCAGGTGAGACGGGGAATGGGGGTAGGGGAAGAGTCCTGGGTCAGAGCCGGGCTGAGGATGAACCTCAGGGAAAGCAGAGAAGACCCAGGACCTGCAGGGCCTTCCAAGACCGTTAAGAGGCCAGCAGGAAGGAGGGAGGACTGTGGCCAAAGCTGGAAAACCGTCCAGGAGTACATCAAGTCCTGGACTGCGCAGCCAGGACATCCCAGGTGACTCACCTCCCTTCCGACCTCCCTCCCTCTCCCCCGTCGGGGAACACGTGTGCACACCAGAGACAATCACGCCGCGACCCTCTGTGCCCATCTGTCCCTCTTTCTGAGACTGGGCACACACGCGCCCTGTGCAACTCTCAGCCTGGCCCACTGGGTCTGGGATTTGAACCGCATGGCTGGCCACGCGAGATCAGCTGCCTGAGAGGGACGGAGCTGGCCCACTAGGTGATTTCCAGGAAAGGCGCGCTAATTGGTGAGGGCCGCCATAACAAAGTCCCGACCTGCTCGCTTCCGAGGCCAGACCCTCCAGGACCAGGACGTCTGCACGGTGGGTTCTGGGAGGGCTTTCTTCCTGCGTGCTCACATGGCGGGGCAGTGCCAGCTCTGGCGCCTCTCACAGGGACGATGTCCCACGAGGACCCCTGTGATGACGTCGTCTAACCCTGCTGCCCCTGGAGCTCCTTCGCCCTGGAGCTCTGACTGAGGTGTCGATGGCTGCTCATAGGTGCGCAGCAGTGGGGGTGCAGGATGGCGCCCGCCCGTGGGAGCTGGTGTTACGGACGGCTTAGGAGGAAGGAAAAGTAACCTCCCTGGGAAACAGACTTCACGTTTACTCGGCTTGGGTACCTGACTGTTTTCTTCTCATGTCCGAAGTGAGCTACCGATGTCTTTTCCAGTTCCTCATCCATCACAGCATCTCCCGGAGTCAGATGAACGTTAAAACAAACCACTCAGAACACACGGGTAAGTGGAAAAGCGCACATCACAAGACGGTGTGTGCTGTACGAGCCATTTGCTTAAAATATTCATGAGTAACATTTACAGACGCGTGTGTACTGCGTGTTCAGTGTTTATCCCTAGGAGATGGGATTCAGGTCATTAGGTGGATTTGGGTAGGCGCACCAGCTGCACTGGCTGTTTCAAGCAGAAGAGATTTGATTCGGGCAGCTCTGTGCTCGCACAGCTACTGGGAGGCCTGGAGCAGGGGAGGGTGAGCTGTCAGCCTGGCCCCATGTCTGTCAGTGGCTACCACCGCGGACGCCTCTCCTTCCAAACCCACTGGCAGATCAAAACTGTATCTAGAGCCCATCTGGTACAGGTCTGAGAAGTAAGCCCCCAGGCCCAGGGCCCCTGTGATTCCGGGGAGAATAGAAAGGGGTGGGCATGGTACCAGGTGCCAGACACTTTCATCTTGTGCGTGTGTGTGCGTGCGTGTGTGTGTGTGTTGCCATAGGGTATGTGCGCTCCAGTGAGGGACAGAGAGAAAGTGAGAAATCACCTTGCATGGGGGAAAGTCATGCCGCAACTCCTTCTCCTCCATCTCCTCTCGGGACTCTGAGCACATGCATGCATGTGCCCAGTGTGTTTTTCAAGCTGCTGGGTCTGAGACCCACTGTACAGCTGGGTGGGACCCAGCAGCCTTACCCATCGTGCCACCTGCTGGCCCCAGACACTATGCTCTGTCACAGTCTGCCCTCTTTGTCTAATCTGCAGCCGACCACACACACCCTCTTCCCTATACTTAATTTTTATTTTATTTATTTTTTAAAAGGATTCTTTAATTTTGTTATTATTTTTTAAACATTTGCTATAGGGCATATGTGCTTCTGAGAGAGAGAGAGAGAGAGAGAGAGAGAGAAACACAAAGCCATCAGGTCCAGGACTTGAACCATGTGGGAGTTCAGCACCTTAACCACCAGGCCACCTGCTTACATTTTAATGTCAACAGCAATGACACCATCTGCCACACCACCCCCCCCCAGATGTATGTGGCTCACCTCCTCCTCCAACATGAGCCCGGAAGTGCCCTCGGTCCCAGCACCCACTGTGAGCAGACCTTCACTCCTCTCTGTCCAGTCCCGTGGCAAACCCACCCAGAAGCCTCATGCCCAACTACCGAATTTTAAGTTTCACCAACACCCTTCATCTTACGTAAGCTGAAAGGGAAGAGTGAGAGGGAGGGAGGGAGTCGGATACGGCTGCACGAGCGAGAAAACGCGTAGCGCCTGGCCACCTTTCCTGCAGCCAGGCCACCATCCACTCCCCCAGGACGGCCGGCATCTCGGCGGTCACGAGGAAAATCGCCCAACCTCCCTTCCGGAAGGCCGAGCTTTCGGTGACCTGCGCTGCGTTTCTCTAGACTACTAACTTTTGCCATGAAGCAATGTTCAGAAGTGTCATGGAGAAGCACCTTGTTTTAGGCCCGGTCCTCGGGCCCCCAAGGTGGAGCAAGGATCTGATTTCCTTTGACAGCCAGTCACCCCAGCCAGGGCGGGGACCTCTTTTCTTCCTGTTTGTCCCAGCGGTACGAGATACTCCAAAGGATGCTCTGCTGGAGACACTGTCCCACTGGACACTAATTCCTACACACGACCAGAGCTCAGAGATGCAAGAAAGGGAAGCAATGTGTATTTTTTAAATACATGTCGTCATCGTCTTCTTCTTTAATGAACTTTATTTATTTATTTATTTATTTTCATTTGACCAAAGAGGGGCAGAGAGAGTGAGAGAGACAGGGAAAGTGAGAAAGCAAGCCGCCAGGTCCGGGACTCAAGGCGTGGTCGGTCATGTGGGAGTCCAGTGCCTTAACCACCACACCACCTGGGGGCCCTGAGGGGCAATCATTTTAAAGTGGGTTTTGAGTTGTATGACTAAAAACAGCCACGTCTACTTCACCTCTTGGTCCCTGAACCCACAAAGGGTAGCACCCAGGACTGCTCCCAGGGGGCCCTTCGCACGTCTCTGGGGCACGGGCAAAGGCTGCCTCTCAGATGGGGCTGTAACGAGGTCTACCAGGGACAGAGTCAGGGAATATTGCCGCTCGTCCCAGACTGTCTGCTAAAGGAGTCGTGTCCCCTGAAAGTCTGTACATAGAAGCCCTAACCCATGATGTGGTTGGTAGGGACCGCCTGGCCTCTGACCGTCCCTGCTAGGCATCTTTCTTGGGGACAATCATGTTGGCAAACGCACCATTCAACACGTTTCTCACTCCCAGGTCTCGAACCTGTAGGTCCTAAACCCAAACATATCACCCAAGGTTTCTGTGGGTAAATTCACCAAATCTCATAAATATTTTTGTGTATATTCGTCTGCCCAGGTTGGATTTTCTACCACCCACACGGGGCATGATGGAATCGACAACGTTTAGGCCCAGGGTAAGGGCCAGTGTAGTAGCGGGACACAGGCCTCTCCTACCACTTACTGGGGTGAGATCGCTACGGGACCGCGAGCTTCACTCATGGGTGGGAGGGACACAGGGGTTCGCAGGCTCGGGGCACTCGCAGCCGTCTGGAAACCCCGATGGTCCCACTGACATCCCCCTCATCTTTCCCTCACGCTCAGTCTTCACTGTGTTGACCGGATAAGGCTGCGAACCCGCTGACACGAACCGGCCACCTGCAGCGTCTCATTCTGGCTGCACCAGCCCTGTGGCTGCAGAGGGGGAGCCTTCTACAGCAGTTCCCAGCCTCCCCACGCCAGGGGCTGGCCTTGTGGAACATAATCCCTCCACAGACAGGGAAGGCAGCAGAGGGGGCTGGTCCTGGGAGACCAAGTGCCCCACATCCACCGTGCACCCCATTTCCACCCCTACCCGATGTGAGGTACGATGGAACAGCACACAACAATCGCTTTGTACTTCCATGGAAATCCAGTACCGCAGCTGAGCCGACAGAAGGCGAGGCCCGGAGACTGCACGCACTGGGGAACCAGGAGGACGACCCTGCCGTGCGGGCCACACACTGGCACAGGTCCGCAGCCTGGGGGTTGGGGACACCTGCTCTAGGGCAGTCACGGAGGTCCCTGGGTCTTTGTTTGTGACCTAAGATAAATACATGAAATACGGGGAGAGCTGGTGGCATGGTGATTAGGGCAGCTGGATCCCACCTGGCCAACATGCAGTTCGTACTCTGGGTCCAGTGGCTTGAGAAACATGGCAGGGGTGTGTGTGTGTGTGTGTGTGTGTGTGTGTGTGTGCACGCTCGCCAAAATACTGAGAGAAAAATGGAAGAATGGAAGGGATAGCAGGGTGGCTATCCCCGGGAGTGGGGGTGATTTCTCACTGCGTTCCACCCCGTCTCTGACAAGTACATGCACCCCTACAGCAAACCACCGAAAAAAGAAGGGAAAGTAAAAAGTTGAAATAAAAAGCGAGATTGCCATTTTGTGGGGTTATATCAGCTTCTATAAACTATTCCCCATTAACGATTTTTCAGCAATTCTTAACTCAGGCCAGAATCAAGTGGTAAAAAGTACACGTGGTACCAGTGGGGTCCTGACACAGGACGTCAGTTCCCGAGACCCCGGGTGGCCAGGGCAATCAGGTGGCCAGGACAGTTGGCGTCTATCCCAGGAGCCCGGCACCCACCACGTGGCCCGTGACGCTCAGCGGGAGTCAGGGACAGGCCTCCTTCCAGGAGTGCCAGGGCTGGGGAGCTGCCTTTGTCCCCAGACCTCAGAGGACAAGAAAAGCTTCCTCTGTGGGTCCCTATGTCTGCCTGTGTTCTGGCCCTGCGGAGTCCCGTCAAGGGGCGGGGCAGCTCATCACGTAATGAGAAGCTGCAGAATGGAACGGGCACCTGCGCACAGAGGTCTTCCTTAGAGAAGGCACCCATAAACGCCACGGCCAAGCAGCTCGCGGCTCTGCCCGCCTCAGCCTGGCCATTAGAGTCCGTTTACACACCTCGAGATTGGGTTTGCAGCTGAAGGGAGGCATCTTTTCACAGCTCTCTGAGCCCATTTGCTTTCCCCTTCTCAAGTGTTAAAAGTGTAACGTGTTTTCATGGGACTCGGGAATCCGCCACGTCCTCGCCCCTCTAAATCTGCCGTGCTCACTTCCTTGGGCAGAAAGCCTCCGCTCATGCACTGCTAACCAGCAATCACGCTCAACACCAAACACAGCTTGGAAGCCTGGGGGCTCTCAACCGGAACAGAAACTTACTGTGCGGCTTCGGCTCCACGTCACATTGTCCATGGTTTTACCAAGGAAGCAGGCCCGTCGGTGCCCTCATCGCGCGGGCCTGTCGCTACTGCGGCTCTTAGGGGTTGGAAACAAATGCGTTCGGTTTCCTCTGACCTAGGACTTCTAGAGGGAGGGCTGAGTAGCCGCCATTCACGCTGTTCCCATCAGGGTGTGGACAAAGCACCTTCCTCTGACCACTGCCCTTCCTCAGTGCTCTCTCCCGGCTCTGCCAGGCAGGGGGACGGGTGGTGTCCTCACCTCGGCAGGTCACCGAACAGCCCCTGCTGTGCACGATGGCAGACCAGCAGCCAGACCCCGCCCCGGCAGGTCACTGAACAGCCCCTGCTGTGCACGATGGCAGACCAGCAGCCAGACCCCGCCGTGGGAGACATGGTGCGATGGGAGAAAACAGGGTCAAGGCCGGGGCCCCCGCTGTCCTCACTGGCCGTCCGCTGAGAACTACGTGGAAGCCCGTGACTGCTTCCAGGCCTGAGCTTTTCCACAAGTAGGATGAGCAATCGAATCTCGGCGCCTGCCTCCGGAGTGTGGTGGGAGGTCGGTGTTGGTAAAGAACCCGACATGAACATCGGCAGGTTACCCGGGGGCCTGTGGAAAGCCTCCTCCTAAGTGGGAT